TGTCAACAGAGTACTGCACCTGCCACGAAATCTGCACTTCAAGGTCAACAAAGTACTGCACCTGCCACGAAATCTGCCCTTCAAGGTCAGCAAAGTACTGCATCTGCCACGAAATCTGCACTTCAAGGTCAGCAAAGTACTGCACCTGCCACGAAATCTGCAGTTCACGGTCAACAAACTAGTGCACATCCACTGAGCCTATTTTGAACCCCCCGATTTCAGGGACCCCCTATTAAAAAAAATGCGACCGAGGTTTTTTTAATAGGGGGGGGGGGGCCGTGTTTATTATTAGGGGGACGGGATTATTCGTGTTTGTTCCTGGCACTCTGCCTTTGTAGTCCAACTAACTCCTGTCTATACAGATCCCTAATGTTCTCAGCATCTGCGACTGCAGTCATGAGCTCGGTTACGGCTCGATCTCTTTCCGCCGATATAGCCTGGATCTCTTCCGTGCCGATGTTCACAACTTGACTAACCATCTCTGCGCTGTTGCGATCAGCGTACTCCCCTAACTGGGTGAGACGATCCCGCATTGCCACACGATCAGTGTCAATCTGGTATTGTAAATCGTGTGCTGCTGAGAGCAAACAGTCTCTGGATTCCGTAAGTTGGGAGATTCTTCGTTGATTTCCATATCCTTCGACATAACATTCTTCGAGGTGTGCCATCACTACTTCGTGGACTTCGGTCTCGTGTTGTATAATCTGGTTCTGTCTTTGCTCACATTCGACCATCCATGCGTTTTGGTGGTTCAACATATGCACTTCGGCAAGTAGTTGTGCACACTTCGCATTGAGGTCTCCATCGGCCCGTGCTAGTTGTAGGTTGTCAGTGCTTGCCCTTGCTCCATCTCCAGCTTCGCTGTCCGACGGCACCGGTACAGTTGACCCATCCTCCAATGCTAGCACTCTCACGGCTCCGGTGTCAGTCCTCCTCCTTGTCTCCCTAGGGCTACGGCCTGACCTCGGTGTCCCCCCCGGTGGTGTCGATTGCGCTGACGGGGAACGACTTCGTGCTCTACCTGTCGCACCTTCTCTCACCACTGTCAGAGTCTCCGCTTCGATCGTACCTGGACTAGAGTTGTGGGATGCACTCATCCGATCTGCGGCCGCAGCAGCTGCTCCAAAAGATGCAGTGCTGGCGTCGGATTGGTCCATCCTCAGTGACTGAGGGTAACTGATCTATCCGATGCGTGTGTGTTTAGATGGTGTTGTGTAAGGCCGCAGCACGTACCCAGCTCAAAGGAGTCCGGATACGGCTGATAACCTGCGAACGGATGGAAAGTGTGCCCTGGCCCCGTTCTAGCCCTTAGTTCAACATGAAGCACGCGCGCTAAAGCTCCTTTTTGCCTGATTGGGCACTTGAGCCAAAAGTATATGGCATGTACCTGTATAGCAACTATACTGGGACCTCATCCCTATTGACATATATATTGTGTATGTATGGGCCAGTCAGGCTCTCTAGACATAACTGGCAGTGGAAAACCACCACCTGTTCGTGGAGGAAAGTGGGACGGTTTTCCACTTACTGTAAATGTTAGTAAGTGAGTCAGAGTGTATATCCTTTGATGGAGAGCGCCATGGCCCAACAGTCTTGTTCATCCGCCGGTCTCACCGAGGTGCACTTCAGGGTCTTTGGAGTTCAGAAGCTCCAAGAGCTTTCCCACACAGCTGGGGCCTGCCGGATATGGGAGCGAACATGAGGTGAACCAGTGAAGGTTGGTTTGGCCGGATCAATGGAGGTCTTGGGTTTTAGGTAGTCCGTATGGTTCATAGGAGCCTTGAGTGTACCTGCTAAATGTCTTTGGCCACCAAAGACCATCTGCTTGACATCGTCTTGTCATGCAGCTCAACCTCTGCAGCTACTCACCTAACCTGAAAGTTGCACTTCCGGAACTGAACAAAAAGCTCATTTGCACTCAATGGCAAACACCACAAACGTCACCTCCCAGGACGCCGAGGGCGTGGGCCGCGGCACAGGCGGGCTTTCGGAGGACCTCTGGGGTCTTGGGCATCACTCCGGCAGCGGCCAACATGTGGGTGGAGATGTCTTCCTGGCGCACCCCAGCAATCATGCTATCTAAAGTGGGGGTTTCTCAGAAACCCAAGATCAAGTGTAAAGGAGCTCTGTGACCTCTTGGAAGATGCAAGTGTTGTTTGTGGTTGCAGTCTTATGGATCTACCCTCTCAGCCATACCGCCATCTGTGTTGGGATTTGATCTGGGTAGTCCAGCGAAGGGGACAGGAACAAATGGTCCCAAGATCGTGCAAGTGGAGAGTATTGGGTAAGAATGTCAAAACATGTGCCGTTATCATCTGGCATTTTCAGGCTGTCTAGGATATTCAGATGCTGTCCAACTCCATCATCAATGTAAGAGTTCCTGATTGCTCCAGCCATCAGTGCAAGGGTCTAGAGATGTCTAGAGTCCAAAGGACATCCTCAACCTTAACTACCAAAGCTTCGGAAATCCGACTGTTGTCTGAGCGTTAAAACCCTTGCAATCAACCACCGGAACTTCTGCGGGGGGTGTTGAAATGAGGAGGTCCCCTCCATCTGCTTGCTCATCTGCACCTCGGTGGGCGGTGGCCGTTCAACCGGGTGGTCTCGACCACGGCAGGCTCCGCCGTCCGTCCTTGTCGTTCGCCAAAGCCGCCTCTAGGGCTGAGACGTAGTCCGCGGCGGCCGGGCCCATGCCGGTAAGGACATAGGCTGCAGCAGCCACCACGCCCGGAGAGGAGTCTCTTAGAAGCTTTCCAATGGCAGCTGCCTGTTTGATGAAAAACCAGGTGGGGGTGGGTGATCGGGGGGGAAAGCAAGTAGTGGATTCGTTGCAGGACCAGCCACAAACCCAGCCATGAACCGCCGACCGGAACATCTTGGAACCAATCCGCCCGGTAACAGCATGTACATTTCACCAATCCCTAGTGAGTTCCGTCTGCTACAGGGGGGCCGGAACTCCTGCCCAGCTGAGATTTTGGGCAAGAACCTGCTAATTAATTACAATGAGTCAACAAAGGGGGGAATTACATTTTGGCATCTTTTCTCACCTTTTCGCAATCGCCATCGCGCCTGGCTCTGCGCCTTGGCGCCCAAAGACTTTAAGGTCTTCGCCGCCGCCACGCGCACATAGCAGTCACCGCCCAGGAGCCTTGGCGAGTCTCGTCCGGCTGGGCGAAACGGGAAGTCCTTCGCGCAAATCTCTGGACGCCGTACGCCGTACGGCGATATATGCGAAGTCCACTTCTAAAGAGCTTGAAGTGCTTATCAATGCTCACATTCCTCACCAACTCAATCAATCCTACATCCTACAAGTATCCCAGAAACGCCGACCACAAACACCTCCCAACCGAGGCACTGATTCCTCCCCCCCCCGTCTGACCCCTCTCCGTGCTCTCAATGACCGTCCAACGGCACCAGCTGAGGCACTGTGCCAACCCCGAGCTGGCGGCCTCTGCGCCTTCCATGCTGCGCAGCGCCTCAGCGGCCGCCACCTGCACCTGAGGGCGTTCAGAAGGGCCACGTTTAGAACCCAAACGCCTTTTGAGAACCAAAACAAATCAAACCGATTGAACTTGAACATGCAATAACTGGATATAACTGGGTATATTATAAATGAAGACAACTCCAATGTGTATTTAATATGATGCGATGTTGCTTGATGTCTAGAACTGGCTTCGGCAATGACCATCTGCCTCTCAAAAGTGCGCCGGAATCATGTCCAAAAACGGAATCGTAAAATACATCAAATTTCATCTTCCCAACAACCATCGAAACCACTTAGTCGTTAGGCCTCACTCCGCTTCAACAAGTGGCTCGTGGCTCCTTGTGTGACAAAAGTTTGGCCACGGCGGAGCACTCAATGTTCATGGACGACAGGGCCTACCAAAATCGCAATTTCGGCTGTGAAGGGAAGGGCAGATTCTGAAAGGTCAAAACGAACTGCTGCTTGCCAACACTGTACTGCTCTGCCCCCCTGGCCCGCTGGAACATGAACGTGGAAGAAGTGAAACACGTTGGAAGGCTATCTGCTAGCATCTGCTATCTACATGCCAGACTCCCTGCAAGAAATGGGGTCGGGGAGCTCATATGAATCCCACAGGTCTAAAGGTGTTTGCTCTGTCTGCCCAGGCCCAGAGCCACCTTGCATGCAGACACAATCTCATCCACATCGTCACCTTGGAAGTGGGAGAAGACCAACATGCAAGACATAGGAACAACATGGAACAACATATAAATCAGTCCGTACTTATGCAGCAAATTGAGTCCTGTAGGTTGATGACTCATCTCAGAGGTCTGTCTGCACCAGATCCTGGAAGTGATAGGAAGGGTAGGGCCTAAGCGTTGTGTGGTGAAAGTGAAGCATTTCAAGGCTGTGAAAACCCTCGCCAAACCAAACATCTGGGCGCCAAGAAACACAGTGAGTGCATCATACCTGAGACATCCTGACACCCACCAGCAAAGTCATGCAAAATCCATTGCCACAAAGAAGAGGGAGAGAGAGAGAGAGAGACCCACATACACGCACACGGACTTGCGCTGCTGAAGGTGCCCTTACTTGACATTACGTTGGGCACCTCGCATCCCAGAGTCATTTCTGAAGCATTTTCCTTCACATCTCTTCGTACAATAGGTACAAAGGGAGAGGAAGGGAAACTGGTGAAGGCCAATCACTCTTGACTTGGCAAGCTGAAACCAACACCCAATTTCACTTTAAACAATGTAATTTAACTATACCCATGGCCCATTGTAGCCTACTTAGTGGGGTTCTAAATAGCACATAAATAGCACACCTAATAACACAACATTAATATATAACCCACCTAGCCCTTCTCAGTTGAAAAAGAACAACACCTAATAACAAATACACACACACTCTGACACTTGTATTCAGTTAACTCAATTTCCCGATGGGAA